CAAGTGTCTCTATTGATGTTGTGCCTCCTTCTTTTCTAATGTTTATACTGTGGATATAACCCTCCATAGCGTATTGTAGCCCCTTTTGTCGGGACCTGGAGGATATTGCTGCGTTATTGCTCCAAAATGAGTCTGTTAAGGCGACTCCGACGTTACGGAGACCCTCCATTATGGCTTTGTTTAACGCATCTGGCTCTCAGCTTGTCGGACTAGCAACAGTAACCAAGGGGGGGCGTGGCTTTGCGAAAGGTCAATTGTTTGCCTGAAGGAGCCCATTTCCATTATGCCGGAGGAACTTCCGTGGAGCCCAATATCCTTGTCTTTTCCTCCCGCGTCCGGGTTTGCGGGGTGGCCGGCTGGAACCGCTAGCCAACTAGGGAACGCCGCCTGTAGCTTAATCCGCAAGACTGCGGAGCTGATGAATATATACCTGGAGCTGGGACGAAGCCCTGCTGCTGCTTGCGTGTGGTCACCTGAAATGACAACTGACAGGAAGGAAGAGCAGGCATTTAAGGAATTTAACGTGTGCAGCAATTGGCTGCTGAGGGGTGACGCCCACATGTTTAATGAGGGGGGCGAGAGCAATAGAGTGACGTGTAAGTGACTCATGGTTAGGTCTTCCTTAGTGAACTTGCGCTAAAGCTTTCATTATCATGCATTGTCCTTTACTGATGGGCAAGGAACATTAGAAGTCAGCTAACTATTACAACTATATTATTTACAGTATCAGAGCAAAGAAAATGTTGCTAGAAGTACAGTTCTTGCATGTAACCATACTGCCTTTCAGTTTCGTATTATCAGGTAGAGGTGACAGTGGTTAGTTTGTAGCTGAATAATGGCTGGCTATATGGAGGATTTCAGGTGAGGTTAGAGGACAAAGGACCTTAGCAAACTTCACCAAGGTGCCTGTGACTGTGTGATGTACTGTCCCAGGGGTGGATGTGTGACACTGACCAGAATAAAGTCTAGAGGAAGACTTAGCATCTCTCACCTCAAACGTGCTTCCCGTGTGGTCAAACTCAGGAGGCACGAAGGAACCTTCTGGATCATCTGTAAGGTTGAAAAAAGGCCAATTAACCGCACTGAAAAGAATATCATTAAGTCATCAAAAGGAAGCAGGCAATGCGTTTGCCGTTTGAGGTGAACACTACAATGTATAGCCATGTCAGCTCTGTGATTTAACCCACTTGCTAATAATATACCGTAATGAGATACAAATCAGAGGAATATTCGAAAGAACAACGGTCCAGTGGGCAAGAGCAGCTGTTTTCCTTCATTTGCATAATTCGTGTGTCAGTGATAATCCCTGACAGACTGGAGTAGTGAGGCATCCTCATCCTCCTCAAATAGGCCAAATTCTAAGACTGGCTCCGAGCAGGAGACACATGAAAACCAAAACATGCACCCCTTAGCTGGATTCAGAACAAGAAAGGTGGAGAGGCACGTTAAATGTGCTGATCGGGTTTTTTACTTCCTGATACCGATTCAGATACCTGACCTTTTGTATCTGCCAATACCGAATTCCGGTCGGATATATATATACAGTATATATAGAGACATATGGATTTGAGTTTGTGGGGCGCTGTGGCTTAGAAGTTAGATGGTGTTCCTCCAATTGCTAGGTATAATCCCCAGCCAATGCACTCAACATATCGTTATTTCATTTGAAAGGATACTTAGCCCCACAACAGCTGTATATTACTAACCCTAACTAGAGATGTCCCGATCCGATCACGTGATCGGGGATCGGAGCCAATCACGTGATTTTCAAAAGATTGGAATCGGGAGAAAAAAAATCGGGGATCGGGATTTAAAAAAAAAAAAATTTAAATACTTTTTTTTAAATTTTGTATTCAATGTTACAAGACAAAAATGACCATTTTCAAGTCTTAAAGTCATCCTGAGGCCTTAGCTTTGGTTTCAAATTACAGAACATCATGTATGTGTTGCTTCTTTGGGGCTTGTTTTCATAGACCTGGTTGCTTATTTCTCTCAAATCTGGCAACAGAGTGGGCAGGGTGCAGTGTCTAATTGTAGCAGTAAGCTAACGAGTACTGAAAGCTTTATTTTGTTTTGATCCAATGCTGCACAACTGAACTGATCCAATGCTGCTGTGAAAGAAAGAAGCTATATCCATGTTGGATAGAATATCCAATTTAAATAAAAAAATAACCTTAAGGGACAACTTGAATGCTTTTTTTCCTTTTTTTCTCTTAATGCATTGCATAAAGATCGGATCGGGAAAAATCGGTATCGGCAAATTGTCAAAATCAAATGATCGGAATCGGATCGGGAGCAAAAAAAGGTGATCGGGACATCCCTAACCCTAACCCTTCCATCATTGATTCCTTCACGCAGTGATTTTTTTTCTGAACTGATGGTGAATGTATCTAACAAGTACCAGCAAGTACCACGTGTTATAGGTAGCGTTAATGTGCTAATCATGGATAACTTGATATCAGATAAGGGCATAGACTTGCAGTTCGCAGATACCAGATCTTTTCTGTTTATCAGATGCACTTCTCATACTGGTATAGGAACAGTTCTAGTGAAGCCCTAAGGAGCGAGAGGTTGTACTGAGAGTTATAGGAGGAGGGGGGTAAAGTGGGTCATGACAGATCTGGGTGTCTCTGGATTTATGATCTCCCCACCCAGGTGTACTGAGGCCAGCAGATCTCTGTTTCTCCTCTCCTCCTTAGCCTTATTATCTCAACTTCTTTCTTCTTCTATCCTTCCCTTTTACCTTTCCTCTTCTCTGATCTTCTCACTTCTCTTCTTTTCCTCTGGTCCTTCCATTCCCTTATTTTTCTTGCTCTCTTGTCCTTTTGTCACATATTGTATTCCCCTGTCCTTCTCTTATTTAGCTCTCCTCTTAAGCTTCTAAGAATAAAATGATAATTTGTCAACTATTGAAACAGTAGTTTCTGATAGGTGCTATTAGTTAATTTTTTTAAATAAAAAAACAAAAAGTCAAAATTCTATGATTCCAGCTTCTTAAAGGTCCCATGTCATGGCCATTTCTACTGATCATAATTCCATTGTTGAGGTCTACTAGAATAGATTTACACTGTTCAATTTTCCAAAATCACTTTGGCTTCTCATCTCTGTATAGTATGTGTATTCACTCTCTGTCCTAAACGGCTTGTTGGAGCTCCTGCCCCCCCCCCTGTTTATCAAAAGACACCTGAACAATAGGCGTTGCTAGGCTTGGTGAAATGCTCTGTTCTGATTGGTCAAGTTGGAGACTTTTTTTCGCTGGCAGACCACTGCTAAGGATAGGAGACCATCACTGACCAGGAGGCCGTTCTGATCAAGGGACTATATGCAGTCCTATGAAAAGCTGTGGACAACAAACACATTAGTGAGCCAGCTCACACTGGTCCGCTCCTCGCAGCAGCGAGCCTCGCAACGGCCGCCGTGTGTGGTGTGTGTGAGGAAGTCCGTGGATTGGTCCAAACTTAACGGCTCCGCGGACATAACGGCTCCGCGGATTGGTCCAATCTGCGGAGCCGTTACGTTACGTCACTATACCCAAACACGTCACTGTACCCAGGAAGAAAAAGAGAAATGTCTAACGAGGCGTTCTGGGGCAGCAGACAGGTCTTTTCTGTGTTAGAGTTTTACTCGCTACAGGGTGTACTTTGAGGGTTTGTGACTCTGCAGACCGTTTACATGCAGAAAAACCTACAATAATAACCGGGTAATAACCGGAAAAGCATGACATGGAACCTTTACATGTAAATCATTTTAGGTCTATTTAGCTCTTTGATGACATTAAACAGAGTATTTTTGAGATTTGGACAAACCAAGACATTTAAAGGACTCTAAACAGCTTTCTGACTGATGGAGAAAATCAGTGGATTAATCATCAGTAGAAGAGATCATACTCTCTTCTTTTTCCCTTTCTTTTCCTCTCCCTGCATTTCACTTGTCCTTTACCATCTTTCGTCAACATTTCAATTCTTCTTCCAGAGTCTCTAACGTCCTTTCCTCCTTAGCTCTTTTTCCTTTACGTTCCCTTCCTTTACCACGTCTCCTTAAATTCCCATTTTCCTTATGCTTTATTCTAGTGTCCACACCTTTCCTTCCTTTTCCCCATTCCTTTCCAATTCACCTCCTCTCAATTATTTTCAAACCTTCCTACTTCCCTTTCTTTTATTCACATCTATTCTTCCAATTATCTTGTCCTTTCCTTCTCTGTCCTAACATCTTCCTCCTTTCTTTTAGGGTTTTCATCTCCTCGTCTTTACTCGTCTCTACACCTCCTATGCTTTGTATCTCCTCTCAAAGATTCTGAAACATTTCCCACCATATGTAACGAGTACGACCTTCGCCACATTGAATAAGAGGGAAAAGAAGACAGCCGTTGTGAGTGACGCACTAGCCTTCGGGGTGATGGGGAGAGCGTGTTAAGTCATGAATGCCTCCACAATTTAGCACAACAGGTAGTACGAGCTGAGCCATATTACTGATTCAACACACTGTGCAAATATGCCGATCAAAAAGTCCAGTTTTTATCAGAAATTGATCAGCTTTGGATTGTCTTGGTCATCATTAAGTGAAAACCATCAGAGGACATAATGTTGCACTAATTGGTCGATGGTGATGCGTTCACTGCTCCTCAGTAAACTACCATTCTGCTACTACTGCAATAATTAATCATCTGAAATTAACCCTATTGATGAAGCAACAGGCTATTCTCACTGAGATAAATCACCACAGCTCTCAATGTCACTGTATTGAGCATGGGAGAGTAGTACGTGAGACTGAAATGTCATCCAAATCGCACAAAGAGCTCAATTAAATGGAACGAAAACTGTGAGAGCAAAGTGTTGTGATTAATGATTTAGGCGCTGTTTGTTCACCATGAACATGAGAAGGGTAAATGTGGGCACTGCGGCTTGTGTTTCTATCCACAGGATGAATCACAGCAGTAGGACTGAGCCTGATCCGATAAAGCAGTGTGACAAGAGATGAAGCCACGAAGGACTTTAGCTAACAGAGTAATCAAAGCATCTCTTAAAGGGTCTCTGGTGGGAGATTTGTGCCTGGATAAGAAAACGGTTAAAACACTGCCATTCTGGTCATGTGATGTAGTAATTTGATCATGTGTGTTTGAGTCTAGGTTGACTGATCATAGACTTACCAAGTAGTTACCATAACAGCGACCCCCCTAGCAACTCGTACGCCACTGACAATCAATGCTTATAATGATAGAGAGGGTATGAGAAAAGGAAATAAATGGCAAAAGGAATGAAACAATTCGGAAAACAGAAGAGGTGACGGATAATTGCTAGGTTGGATGCTTTTCATTAGTTTGGAAAAGCCTCAAGGAAGATGTCGTCCGTGCAAATCAGAACCGACCTGTGGAAAGCCTGATTGATCCAATGAGACACTGATGTGTTTTCGAGCAAGGACTTGCACATTGAAACTGATACAGTTCAGAGCAAGAAATATAACAATGCCTTTGTCTTCCAGCCAAAACTGCAGTTACAGAAAACCAAACATTTAATCTTGATCTGTGACAAAACATATGAATAACTTTAGGACTTTGAGATCATGGACCTTCGCTAAAGCCAAATTCTCTGTCTGGAAAATATCAAAAAAGTTACAAATCCTTATGTATCCGTCCTGGGATTCTGATCCATTCCAAAATGAGATTCATTGGCACATGCTTCATGCTTGCACAAAAAAAACAGGGCCAGTGTTGTTTTTTCTGTGGTCCTGCTGACAAAAATGTGCACAAACAAACTGCAATGAAAAAGTAATGTCCTTGGCGAAGATAAAAATAAAGCTGTTAAGAGATAAAAGTATCAGGCAGAAAGTGCAAACTAAGGGGTTTACAAAGTCCTGAAAGGGGTTTCGTTCCTGCAGATGAATGGCAGGGTGTCAGAGCTGTGGACTCACCGCTCAGCTGCTCCATGAAGCAAACATTCCCATGAGCGTTGAAGGCCAGAGTGTCCGGGGTGATGCACAGTGTGTGGAAGAGGTGGGAGGGTCGGATGCTCTGCAGCGCCAGGACACACTCCGCACACACTCCCCACACCTCATCCTCACACAGACAGCTGTCCTGCAGAGACAGGATGTCCGCTAGAGACACATTCTCCTGTGGACACACACACACGTACAAGAAGGCCCAGGTTAGCATACACACATACATGGTTTGCAGTACAGTCAGGTGAAGTGAAATGACGAGATGTAATAATCTGAACAAATCATATTGGTAGAGAAAATATAAGCTATGTTTAGCATAAAAAACTAAAACAATATAAGTAGGCTACAACTAGTTTGTGTTTAGAAGATACAAGATAATGTCAATTCCATTGAATTAAGACGGTTTGGAGAGATTAGCTTTAATGCAGGAGGAAATCATACAGTCTTCATAGTCACCTTCCCCATCCATGTACCTCGAGAAAATAATTTGGACATTGCTTTTGCTCCACATTCACACTGTTCCATAGTCTCACTCCACAGGCTGAGATACAAAAAGTTTTGCTGGTTGTACGGACCCTATGAATTTCAAATTGAAATTGTCTCCTTGAACTATATTTCGTTGAGTGAATACTTTTTGGATGTTTCAAAACGTTATGATTTGCCTTAAACATGATTTGTGCCGTTTGGAATTCTACCAGGTCTGTGAATTTTAACAATTTTGACTGCAGGAATAATGTGTTAGTGTGATCAAGGTATTTGTCATTGTGAATGATTCGTATGGCTGTTTTAGAAATGGAGAGGAGCGGCCTCAGTGTGTTTTATGTGGAGAGGTGCTCAGTAACGAAAGCTTGAAAATGAATAAATTGGCATCTCCAAACAAAATATCCTCTGCATCGGGACAAATCGAAGGATTTTTTCATCTGCAAAGAAGAGTCTTTCAAGAAGCAGTGTTTTGACGGCGGAAAAGTAAGTCACTAATTTTAATCATTTGTTTTGTGTTTTTGTGAGTTTGTCAGGGTCTGTTGTGAAATTGTTTCGTTAATGCAAAGTTGGATGAAATCAGGGTCGGCTCATGAACAAATCGAATGGGGGGGGCAATCATTTACCACGGAGGGGGGCACACACATGCTGTAAAGTCTCTTGTCTCTCACACACACAGCATTGCACGCTTCATTAAGCCAAGTCTCTCTCTCTCTTTCTCTCTCACACACACACACACACACACACACACACACACACACACACACACACACACACACAAACACACACACACACACACACCTGAAATTGTGTTATGTAGCACCCTCTGTTGTTGTTACCTATTTCCGCCAGCGGGTCATATTGACCCCACCCCTTTTCACATAAACATGACGTGTTGCTATAGCAACGCCTTTTGTCTACTGCGGTTCCCACTACTGACTGTAGTCAGTGCCATATAGACTGAGAGTTACGTCATCTCCGTTCACTCCAATGGACCACTTTTTTACAGCAATGGCGGATCGTGGAGCCTCTCAATCGTTCCCCGGAAGTTAGCGCCAAGGCTAGCAGAGCTGTAGAGTTGCAGCATAATAGACCGTTCGTGACGGACTTTTAAAGGTAAGAAGAAGTTTAAAGATTTATATTGCGGATATTATCAGTACATCTGATTCAAATTAACATGTGTATTAAAGGATGTCAGTGGATTATCCCTAAATTAGTAGATTTAGGGAACGTTTACAGATAACAGATTAAGCTAGGATACCATACCATAGTACCATACACTATACCATAGTGGTTG